TATATATATATATATATATATATATATATATATATATCATTATCAAAGATTATCCATTTAAATTGTCTTAATCAAGTGTTCAAGTTTTTTATTAAAATGACCCGAATATTCCTTCTAGAATTCATAAATAAGTTAAGTTTTATGTAGTTGATGATGACTTTGAGCAAGAGAATTCCATAACTTAGAAAATATTGAAAATTGATCAACCACCTTAAGAATTCTCCTATAAGAAATTTTAAATATGTAGTTGACATCCCCCATCTCCCATTCGCCGCCAACCGCCATCGATCAGAGCCGGCTTCCATTGTTGCCCATCTTCTATAGCCTACTATCAGCTAACACAAATACTTATCACCATTTATCCAACATTATTATGTCGAATACGTATATGGCATGCATTTGTCCAACATGCATCTGAAGCGTATTGAACTTTGCCATTTACATATCAAACTAAAAAGTTCAAAAAATACACGTGACACAATTAAACTGTATATTACAGAATAAAGTTAATATAAGAGCTATTATCCTCTTTTATTTTAATATATTTTACTTACCTAATTTAATAGTTATTTAATATTAATTTAATTTCCCTAATCAGCTACAATTTTCTTCTAATATTTCTACTTTAATATGTTTCATATGAATATTAATATTCATACTTTCAAATAACTTTAATAATATTTTATTTCATCATATAATTATGTTTTTTTACGAGTAGCATTTGCATACATATCAATAGTAATTAGTTGTCGCTTTTAAAAAATAATCGGCGTAATAACAACGACCTTAAATCTCGATCATACCCGTGTCAATGCCGGCAGTGTTATTTTATTTTCCCGAGAAACTGCAACACCCATCTTTGCGGTCGCTTTTAAAAAATAATCGGCGTAATAACAACGATCTTAAATCTCGATCATACCCGTGTCAATGCCGGCAATTTTATTTTATTTTCCCGGGGAACTACAACACCCATCTTTGCAAGGATTATTTATGATGACCCGTGAAAGTCAGTTCCTTAAGTCGACTTTTTCGACAAAGCCAATTTCAATTTACTTAGCACTGAAAACCTTTTATTCCATTCGGCTTCTTGTTCTCAGAATCAGGCGGGCTCTTACATCACTGCTTGCTTCATCCTTAATTGTTCACGCTACAGTCAACATAAGCCAAAAAATACAAAAAAAATGGGGACATTTACATACCTAACACCCATTTCTTATGTATTTACATTTTCAGGTGGCATATGAGTAAAAGTTAATATTTAGGGGTAGACATGCAAATACAAAGAAACTGAGTGACATGAACGTAAATCTTCCAAAAGAATATTCACGGGAAAGAAGCATTAACTCACCGCTTAATCCCATGATATGCTTTACATGGTGGAGCTGCCTCAAATTCAGTTGTGCTGCCACTAGAAACTTGAAAATGATAACCAACTGGAAGGTTTGATGGTGCTTTTAACAAATATTATTAATTAGAATTGAACATGAGTTTAATTCAATAATCGAACACTGGGCCTTACCCCCACCAATGCCTCACCACCTGCCACGTGGTTTTATAAAAGTATTAAAATAATCTGTAATTATTTTAAAATTAAATTAAAATGATGACATTTAAATAGTCAAGGACTATTTTGACATGTACACATTTGTATATAAATTCGCCGCTCTTGCATCCACTAAGCAGAGAGCATGCATGGCTGAAATTGACAAAAAGAGCCATGAGATGACAGAGAAGAGAAGCTTGGATAAGTTATACTGATTTTAAGGCAAGCCATTTTGAGAACCAATTTGAAAGAGGGATACAGTTGTAGCTAAATTCTACATAAACGAAGAACAAAACTGGTTTCAACGATCAAAATAGCTCCACGTACGATCCTTCTTTGCAGGAAACTAATGAAATGATAGTTGGGAAAACGTGACACCGTATAATGCTCATGCAGCATTCCTACTTTGCTTTTTCCAGCTCTTATAGAGCTATTAAAATGGCTCCATATACCCATCTTGTCTCAAGCCACCGTAATAATATTGAAAGTAAGAGAGAATCTATTCATCTTGTTTTACTGGTTGTTACATTGTCTTCTTTTTCAGCTGGACATCTATAAGAGAAAGGAAGGCAAGAAGAGATAAGAGAGCTTCCTTAAAAGCTTTACTGGTTATAATGGAGGTCGGGGAGTTAGGGAGGATAAGTAGCCTAAGACTAGGCAGCTCAAGAATTTGGGCACGAGATGATGCCTTCTCTAAATCCTCAAATGAAGAAGACGATCTTGAGGCCCTCAAATGGGCAGCACTCGAAAAGCTTCCAACCTACAGCCGCCTGCAGAAGGGTATACTTCACATGGAAGAAGGATATAAAGAAGTTGATATAGAAAACCTTGCACCTGAACAGAGAAGGCAATTGTTACAGAGACTAGTAAGAGTTACAGAGGAAGATCATGAGAGACTGTTGCTGAAGCTTAAGAACCGCATTGATAGGTAAATTTTATCAGACACTCGTAAGATTAGGTAGAATTTCTGATTAATGCTGCAGAATTTTTTGTAAAATCGGTTGCATGGGTTTCTTTCAGTGTTGGAATTGAGCTACCCACCATAGAAGTGCGTTACGAGCACCTCAGAGTTGAAGCAGAAGCATATGTGGGGAATAGAGGATTGCCATCTTTTGTGAATTTTTTTTTCAATGTCCTCGAGGTAATCATAAAATATGATCAGAAAACACTGGAGAAGAAGGAATACATAATCTCATGATCAAAATGCTAAATTTAATATGTCTTCTTGGTGAACCAGGGCTTTGCCAATTACGTCCATATATTACCAAGCAGGAAGAAAAAGTTAACCATCCTTAATGATGTTAGTGGAATCATCAAGCCTCGAAGGTATTGCTATAGTTTCTAGCTACATAGATGAACTGGAAACGTAGTGTCATTTCTCCTTTTGATGAAGTTATATTTTGAAAATTGCAGGATGACTCTACTCCTAGGACCTCCAGCATCAGGAAAGACCACTTTTTTGCTGGCGCTGGCAGGGAAGTTGGGCTCCGATATGAAGGTGATTATAATTTCCCTTTTCCATCAACCCTTTATACCAACATATTAACATCATGTATGATTCTCTTTGGCGGGAGGAAAGATTTCAGGAACAGTAACTTACAATGGTCATCAAATGGAGGAATTTGTGCCCCAAAAAACATCTGCCTATATTAGTCAGCACGACCTCCATCTTGGGGAGATGACCGTTCGTGAAACCTTAGAATTCTCTGCAAGATGTCAGGGAGTTGGTGCCCGTTATGGTGAGCATAATTACTATATCTAAGCAATCAGAAAAGGATATTTAGACATTTTGTTCAAACGGTAGAAAAATGGTTAATCTATCTGTGCAAAAATCTGTAGACATGTTGGCAGAACTAGCAAGAAGAGAGAAGGAAGCACGCATAAAGCCAGACCCAGATATTGATGTATTTATGAAGGTGAGGAAAAAAAATCCATCTTTCATTTTTATGTATGTATAATGATAAAATTTTCGCACTGTAAATCAAGCTAATCTTTCATTTTTATGTATGTATAATGATAAAATTTTTGCACTGTAAATCAAGCTAACTTTCATAAACTACAGGCAACTTTAATTGAGCACCAAAGGGCCAGCATAATCACCGATTACACATTGAAGGTACATACAAATAACTGTACTAGAGGGACTAATTTTAAGTCCTTGTTCAGGAAGCACAAATAAAATAAAATCATTGAAGGTACATACAAATAACTGTACTAGAGGGATTAATTTTATGTCCCTGTTCAGGAAGCACAAATAAAAATAAAAACAGAAACATATTTGCTGGCAGGAAAAGTAATTTTTTTTTACAGCTTTTAGATTTGGAAGTTTGTGCTGATACCATGGTCGGAGATAACCTGAGGAGAGGCATTTCAGGTGGACAAAAGAAACGACTCACGACAGGTAAATCCAGTCATGATATAAGCCTCTGAGAAAATAACTTCTCAATCTCACGGATGTAATATGTATAACTGTATCCTTGCTTTGATTTGCCTCTATGTTTATGTGAAACATTCAATCTGTGATACAGGTGAAATGATTGTTGGGCCGAGTAAAGTTTTATTCATGGATGAGATATCCACTGGTCTTGACAGCTCAACAACTTTCCAGATTGTGAACTCTTTAAAACATTCTATTCACATACTAGATGGCACAGCAGTCATCTCCTTGCTCCAGCCAGCACCTGAGACTTTCGCCCTCTTTGATGACATAATTCTTCTCTCAGAAGGTCAGGCTGTGTACCAGGGTCCTCGAGAGCATGTCCTAGATTTCTTTGAGGCAATGGGCTTCAAATGCCCGGAGAGAAAAGGGATAGCAGACTTCTTGCAGGAAGTAGGTTCCAAATTAGTAGCACACAGACTACAAAAACTTCAAATAAAATGATAACAAAAATCTAATTGGCTTTCAGGTCACTTCAAGGAAAGATCAACAACAATACTGGGCACGCCATGAGGAACCTTACAGATTTGTGAGTGTAAAGGAGTTTAGCGAGGCATTTCAATCATTCCACGTTGGTGAGAAACTGGAGAACGAGCTCTCAGTCTCATTTGACAAGTGCAAAAGCCATCCTGCTGCTCTGACAACTTCAAAATATGGTGTCAATAGAATAGAGTTACTAAAAATATGTATATCAAGAGAATGGTTGCTGATGACGCGCAACTCTTTTGTCTATTGTTTCAGAGCATGTCAAGTAAGTGGCATTTCCAACCATGCTTAATATTTTCATCTGATTTAACGTATACCAACTAACATGTAGCTCTCCCAACAGCTAACAATAATGTCAATCGTTGTTATGACACTCTTCTTAAGGACAAACATGCATCGTGATTCAGTTGCCAGTGGGGGTATTTACATGGGTGCACTCTTCTTCTCAATAGTTATGATCATGTTTAATGGATTTTCAGACCTTGCCTTGACGATTGTGAAGCTCCCGGTGTTCTACAAACAAAGGGACTGCCTCTTTTATCCAGCATGGACCTATGCACTTCCATCATGGATACTAAAGGTTCCGATTTCATTCATTGAAGTTGGAGTTTGGGTGTTTCTCACTTATTATGTGATAGGATTCGATCCGAATGTTGAAAGGTGGAGCAATGTCACATCCATGTTTAGACAAGGATTTGATCAATCTTTACAAATGTGGCACTTATTAAACTAACGGAATAAGACAATTTCCATGCAGGCTTTTTAAACAGTATTTGCTGCTCCTAATTGTCAACCAAATGGCATCCGGACTATTCCGTCTCCTAGCTGCATTAGGGAGAGAGATGATTATTGCAAATACATTTGGATCATTCTCTTTGCTTGTGATTTTGATTTTGGGTGGTTTCATTCTATCACATGGTACATGCAGTCTACCAATTCTTTATTTAATAGTAATTCTAGTTTAAGCCAATTTCCTCACTAGTTAGTGCTATTTTAATGGCTTCTATATTGATCCAACCATTTTGATTTAAACCTTTGGCAGATAATATAAAGAAATGGTGGATTTGGGGTTACTGGATATCACCTTTGATGTATGCGCAGAATGCCATCACAACCAATGAGCTCCTTGCGAAGAGTTGGAAGCATGTAAGATGATGACTGCATTTGCACATGGTAGCTACAATAGTTCCATTTGTCCAACATTGAAAAAATAATGTACTTAACATCTATAGAAGTGTCGATTTTCTGAAAAATGAAAATAATAAAGGAACTATTTTAGTCAGAAATATTCCTAACGAGTTTTTTAAATCTAATTGTGCTTCTTTCTATGTTAACATAAACTAATAAATTTGCTAAAAATATAGACAACACAGTTTTATCTAATACACTGGACAAGGCAAATTCAATCAAACTGAAAATTTAAACCAAGAAGTCATTTACATAAAGATTTTGTCCTATTACACTATCAAAGATGGAAGAAGATTGACACAAAAAAGGAAATAATGTTTCCATCATTTAATGGATAAGCTTAAAAACAACTTTTGTTGATGTTAAGCACTAATCTCTTATGTTTGATAATGGGGCCATAGACTCTTCCGGGATCATCAGAACCACTTGGAGTGACTGTATTGAAGTCACGTGGAATTTTCCCTGAAGCAAAATGGTACTGGATTGGCCTGGGTGCATTGACTGGATATATATTCCTCTTCAATTTCCTCTTTGCCGTAGCTCTCACCTATTTGAAACGTGAGTTTTTTCACCCATAATAGCTGGCACCTCTATAATCATATCATGATCTTAGAACTTAAATGATTAAATAAATAGACTAAATAACATTTTCTAAGAAAATCACAGCATTTGGGAAAGCTCAGCCAACAATATCTGAAGAAAGTCTGAAGGAGAAGCAGGCAAACATAACAAAAGTAACAGACCAATCATTAATAGGAGATAATAGGCCTGATGGTCAGTTCCAACCCAAGGGTAATTATTATGTCCAAGGTGCTTCTACTCTATCCCATCTCAGCAAAGCATTTTTCTAATAGAAAGTGCTAAAAAATTTGCAGCCATGCCCAAAGAAGTTGACATTGAAGTCCATGAAAAAAAGAAAGGAATGGTCCTTCCTTTTGCACCGCTATCCATGGCCTTTGACAATGTAAGGTACTCAGTGGACATGCCAAAGGTAATTCTACATAATGTTCTATTTTCCGTTTTCTAGCAAAAGCTTGACCAAGTATTTTTGTTTACAAAAAGAACCCTTTATTTTCAGGAAATGAAGGCAAAAGGCATTCAAGAAGATCGTTTAGAGCTTCTAAAGGGCGTAAGTGGATCATTTCGCCCAGGGGTGCTGACAGCATTGATGGGCGTTAGTGGTGCAGGGAAGACTACATTAATGGATGTTTTGGCTGGAAGAAAAACAGGTGGATATATAGATGGAAGCATATTTGTAAATGGATATCCAAAAAATCAGGAAACTTTCGCTCGAATATCAGGTTACTGCGAACAAAATGATATTCATTCCCCCCACGTGACAGTTTACGAGTCTCTTGTATATTCAGCATGGCTTCGGTTGCCTACTGAGGTTGATTCTGCAACAAGAAAGGTACTTTCAACGAATAGTATGATGTTCCCTCCTTAAACGCACTGATAAAGTGTTTGTTAACAGATGTTCATAGAAGAGGTGATGGAGCTTGTTGAACTTACAACATTAAGGGAAGCATTAGTGGGGTTGCCAGGTATAAATGGATTATCAACCGAGCAACGAAAGAGACTGACGATTGCTGTTGAGCTTGTTGCTAATCCCTCGATTATTTTCATGGATGAGCCTACCTCCGGACTTGATGCTCGTGCTGCTGCTATTGTAATGAGGACGGTGAGGAACACTGTTGATACTGGGAGAACGGTCGTCTGTACCATTCATCAGCCTAGCATTGATATATTTGAAGCTTTTGATGAGGTAAGAGATTAAGCTGATACAAGTATAATTGAATATCTCCCTGTTTTGGTCAGCTGCCTAAGTGCATATTGCAGTAATGTATTTTCTATCTGACTGCAGCTCTTCCTGATGAAGAGAGGCGGGCAAGAGATATATGTTGGTCCGCTGGGACACCATTCTTGTCATCTAATAACTTACTTTGAGGTGAGTAAAGGAAGCATTGTGCCTGTGCAAGATGTCCTAAGCCAATGGTTGAAGATTAACACTGGCAACTTTTATTAGGGAATTGAAGGTGTAAATAAGGTTAAAGATGGCTATAATCCTGCAACATGGATGTTAGAAGTTACCACAGTAGCCCAAGAAGAAATCCTGGGGCTGGATTTTAGTGAGGTCTATAAGAATTCTGAATTGTTTCAGTAAGTAGCCTGCCTAAACTTTCCAAAAAAAAGATACCTTTAGCTCTCAGATTTGAGCTGTTCTATGACTAAGCAATGGTTTCATGTTGCAATGCAGAAGGAATAAATGTTTGATCAAGGAACTTAGCACACCACCTCCTGGTGCAATTGACCTCCACTTCGCCACACAGTACTCTCAGTCCTTCAGCACACAATGCATGGCTTGCCTTTGGAAACAAAGGCTTTCATATTGGAGAAATACTTCATATACTGCAGTGAGGTTTCTATTCACATTGATTATTGCCCTGTTGTTTGGTACGATGTTCTGGGACCTTGGTAAACGAAAGTAAGTTTGTGCTAGTTTTGATGAAACTGAAATGTGCTCTATGCCTACTCCATCTTGTCAAAAGAAACAAAATATAATGCATTATATCTTAAATAACTTTATGTCACAGGGATAAACAACAAGATCTATTCAATGCCATGGGATCCATGTATTCTTCCGTACTTTTCCTGGGAGTTTCAAATTCTTCCACTGTTCAGCCAGTTGTTGCCGTCGAAAGAACAGTATTTTACAGGGAAAGA